AAATAAAAAACACCAATGACAGTTTGTGCTGGAGAGGATGTGGAGAAAGGGGAGCACTGCTCCACTGCTGGTTGGAGTGCCAACTCATACAGCCACTATGGAAATCACTATGGAGATTCCTCAGGAAAATGGGACTCAGCCTACCACAATACCCAGCAATTCCACTCTTAGGCATATACCCAAAAGATGCCCATTCACACAACAAGGATGTCTGTTCCACTATGTTCATAGCAGCATTATCCTGGAAGCAACCTAGATGCCCCACAACTGAAGGGTGGATACAGAAAATGTGGTACATTTACACAATGGAGTACTACTCAGTGGAGAAAAACAATGGAATCTTGAAATATGCAGGCAAATGGATGGCACTAGAGGAAACCATCCTGAGTGAGGTAACCCAGTCACAAAAAAACAAACATGGTATGTACTCACTCATATATGGATCAGGAGAGTGTCAGCCTGCAATCCCAGTGCCAGTGAGTCTGGTAAACAAGGAGGTTCCCAAGAGAGATGCATGATACCCCCAGAGAAGTGGAATGAGGCAAGATCTGAGCAGATTGGGAACATCAGAGGAGGGGAGAGGGAACCAAGAAGAGAGGAGGAGAAGAGAAGGGGAGAAGAAGGCATGGGGGAGCAGGAAGGTTGAGTTGAGGTAAGAATAGAGGAGAGCAGGATGAGAGATATCATAATAGATCGAGTTATTATATGCTTGAAGAGAGATCTGACACTAGTGAGATCTCCAGAGATGTACAAGGATAACACCAAATGGCAAACTAAGCAATAGTGGAGACTACACTAATAGCCCCTCCTTGATGATAGGGTTGATGACTACCTTATATGCCATCCTAGAACTTCATCCAGGGACTTATGGAAGCAGAGACAGACACCCTCAGCTAAACATTGAACTGAACTCCTGGAACCCAGTGACATAGGTGGAGGAGTGATAAGCAAAGCGATCAAGACCATGATGGTGAAACCCACAAAGACAGCTGACCGGACAAGGGGGAGCTCTTGAATCCCAGACTGATGGCTGAGAGGCCATCAGGGGACTGATCCAGATTCCATGAATGTAGTGTCGTGAAGAGGCCACAGAAATCACGGGGGCCTTGGGTAGTAGATCAGTGTTTACCATGGTTATGAATGATCTTTGGGAGCCCATTCCAAATAGAGGGATGCTCTCTTAGCCTGGACACATGGGGAAGGGCCTAGGTCCTGCCCTGGATGAAATGACAGACTTTGGAGATCCCCCCAAGGAGGGCCTCACCCTCCCTGGGGAATGATGTGGGGATTGGGTGGGGGGCTGGGGGAGGCTGGTAGAGGGACAAGGGAGGAGGGGTGAGAGAGGGAGCTGGGACTGACCTGTGAAGCAGTTATGTTTCTAATTTAAATAAAAACATATATTGATGGGGAAAAAGACATACCCATTGGAGGGGAAAAAAAGAGGTGGTGAGTTCTTCTTGCTTGTTTACTCCTGTCTAAATGGTCAAGGGAGTGGTTAGCCAGAAGGGCTAACTCACTTACTTTTTTCCAACCAACAGTCACGTGAAGTATGTTTTCTAATTCCATGTCAGCAGGAGTACATGCCTTCAGTAACTTGTGTTTATGACTCCAGATGAAGTTAGGCTTTCAAAACTGCATTCCGACTGGAGAGGTATGTCAGTGTTCTTGCAGGGGACCCAGGTTTGGTTCCCAGCATCCCTGTCAGATGGCTCACAAAGACCCATAGCCCCAGCTTCGTGGCACCTGACTTCTGTGGATTTTGATGGCGCCTAAATACAGGGTCACATAAGATACACAGACAACATGCATGCACATAGTATAAAAAAAAAACTAAAAAATGCATTCAATTGGAAATAGTGAGCAATAAAAACAATTCAATCACTAATAGCCAACGAAAAACTTCTTACTGGCTGTCTGTAGCTCCTGTGGGAACACCAGCAGGCATGCCTTGGCCTCTGACTCACTGCGGCTCACTTGACCTCGGGTGCTACTCTCAAAGGCCCAGAAGTATGAAATACAGAGCCTGCACCAGACCTGGTAGGGACTACATCTGTCTCGGGACTCAGAAAACCCACCGTTTCTATCAGTTTCTCTGCCTGAAGTTCTGCCTTTTACATCATGTTTTTGAGGGTATAGTCTAGAACAGTGCCTGCCAGACTGCAGCATAAGAATCACCAGGAGGGCACTTTTCAAAACTCGATGTTTTCAAACTCTCCAAGAGGCACCTGAGAATCGGGGTAGAACTGAAGCTTTCCTGAAAGAACTTGGTGTGGTGTCAGCAAACTTCTGCCCATGCTTTTCCTGAGAAACTGTCTCAGCTTTACCAGGGCCCTCAACTCTGGACTGAAGAAATGAGGCCAGGAGGGCTCATCTAGTCTTGTTGTGACTGCTGTCTTGAATGGAAGAGCCACTGTGAGGAAGAGAGGGAAAGAGGAATGGGCCAAAGGAATGAGCAGGGAGTGGGGAGGACGCAGGAGGGTGAGTTCCTGTGGCCCCAGGGACCTTCAGAGCATTGTCAAAGATAAAGTGTGGCCTCTGTTCCTTGGGATCCACTCTACGAACTGGACAGGACACTTACATGTAGGCCTAAGCTCCTTGTTAAACATAAAAACGAGAGGGTGAATCCCTCGCATCACCCGAGATCTGTGGTCTTGTGAAGGAGCCCAGGAGAGACACCTTTAGATGGGTCTCTTTCAACTGCTTATTTACAGATCGTTAGATACTTAACTGGGGCAGGGTGCATAAAAGCTGAAGTACCCAGACCAGTATTTATTAAATATCCATCAATGATTCTGATAAAACAAATCTGAAGTCATAATAACAGTCAATTGTCCCATTTTTAGTTTTTATGTGAACAGACAAGAAGGTAAAATAGCCTGTCTGGCTAATATGGGACTCCTGAGCATTCTACCATGGTTATAATTCTTTCATGAGGACTTACTCTTGGTCCCATAAGGCTCCCCTTTATCTTATAATAAATGTCCCCTTTTTGCACAGGCTAAATTAAGAGGCTTCCTGTTACATTCATATAATACTAATTCTCTGCTGGATGTTGGATAATATTTAAATGCATTATAAAACTCTGAAAAGTACCACTCTACTTGACCTATTGGATTCCCTATGATTGTGCAGTAGCTAAGAATGTACAGTTTTAAAGGCACGGTTATACCTTCTAATGCTTTAATAAAGTTCTATCTTGTGGCACGAGAGCATGTTAAAGGACTCGGCCTCATATTTCCCTTTTATTTTTTTAAACAAGCCTGACTCTATCTAATATTAACCCTGCCATTCCCATCTACAGAAGGTCCATTATTTTAAGGGAAGACTGTAAAGTTGGGAAATAATCAGAATGCTGCTGTACTTTAAATATGTTAATGAATGTATGATATGTGGCACTTTTCACTGAACCATTTTACAGTTTTCACAGAATAAAATGGAGCCTAGCAAAGCTTTAAAAGGTCATCTGAACCCACGTCCTTCGATCTTCATGTCCCATCTGTGACTTCTGGATTATCGCAGTGAAGCAAGTAAACCCACTGCTGTTTGTTGGAGGAGGGCGCTGTCATATGTTGGGTTCCCTCAATGGCAGCTGCATCGTTCATGTTCATACATCCCCCTCTCCACCTGCTTCCAATCCAACCTATCAATTAGGAGGCCCAGTGCTCCTTCCACCAGGAAAAAGCAACCAAAGCACAGAGGCCAGACAGCAGAGAGTAAGTCAACAAGCTACAGAGGAGCTGTGGCCAGGGGTTGGACGACCTGAGTTCATCAGATCTGGTCTACTCTGCACCAGTTCAGGGAACTCAAATGACTTCTGGCTTCACTGTCGTGACTTACAAATGAAGATGCTAGACAAGAAGGAGAGCCGCCTCTGTGCTGGCCTTGCATGCTTCATTTTCCAGTGAACTCCACAGGCAAGTGTTACCATCTCTCCCTAGTCCGCATTTGCAAAGACAGCACTTGCTTAGTGCAATGGAATTAGAAAAAGTCTCATTCCTAAATGATCAGAAGGTCCAAATTATGTAATACTTAAGGATTGTATAATGTTATATTGTTTACAGGCCACACATTAGCAATTCAAATGAATACTGAAGAAAAGCTTGTTACGTAAACTAATATTCTAATCTGCCTATATAGTGCATGGTATCAAAGGTTTTTAAATGTTTTTTTCCTTTTGATACTATTTCACCCTGTAACTTGAGTCTAACATTACCTTCAAAATACAGTATAGTGTATCAGAATTCTAGGCCATCTCACTTGCAGTTAAAATCAATTCAGAACCCATACTGTCTAATAGTGGGCGCCTGACAATAGCTCCTTACATACACTCCTCAGGACAAGCCGGTCCCATGTCCACAGAGACAGAATGATACTAACTGGGCACTGTGCTGCTGGCCAGGAGCCCAAGCAGACCTCCCAGAGTGATGAAGAAGGGGTGGCTCTTTTAAAGAGCTGGCGTCTGGACCACAACCTTCATGCTGTGCACAGTCTGAAGAACTGGGTTGGGTTCAGAGAGTTAAGACACACGAAGAAAGGGTGGCTCTTCTTTTAAAGAGCTGGCGTCTGGGACCACAACCTTCATGCTGTGCACAGTCTGAAGAACTGGGTTGGGTTCAGAGAGTTAAGACACGAAGAAAGGCCATGGGTACTGACTCAGGAAAATATCAGCAGTGAGCAATGCAGTTTTCTACAAATGGCTACAGAGGGGGCTCAACAACCCCACAAGAGATATAAAGACATGAACACTGGGAAAGAACAGATTACTCTCCAAGTGTCCTTTGTCTAGCGCATGAAAACTATTTTGTTTAAACAAATACAAGCACAGCAGAAGAGGCTGGGGTTTGTGGTGAGGAGATCAGAGCATCATCTATTGAGTGGATAACATCAAAACAATCAAAGGAAGGCATAACAGGAAGTCAGCCTGAGTTAGCCCAAGCCTGTAGTGAAGTGGTCAGATGCAGCAGTTCAACCTGGCTCTGAGCAGAAATAGCCAAACTTACCTAGAGTCCAGTCATCTTTGTCCATGTCCAAGTCAAAGATGCAATAGATAAGACCAGGACATATTTACTGGTGTGTCCCATACTGGATATGGTTAATACAAGGTTAGACTGTGACCCTTCTGGGATCCATGGCGGGAGTGAGTTTGTTGAGACGAAGTTTCAGGTATGTAGTGCAGGCCACCCTGGAATGAGAGATTATCCTGCCTCAGTTCTCAGCATTCCTAGTGCTGGAATTTCAAGAGTGCACCCCATAACTGGCTTTGGATCCATTTAATATGACTTTTGCATCTGTGAAAATAAAGCATCTCTCAGGTCGTTAGGCTAGGTAAACGGCTCATTGCAGAGCAAAATGAGATCAATGACAGTCATATTCTGTCAATGCAGGATGTGCCCTCTCCCTGTCCTCTAATTAAATGCCACTTGCTAGGTATTTATGGAGCATACGCCATATGGCTACTGTGAGGACTGTATGAGTTTCCTACAGTACTCACTGCCCATAAGAGACTTAGGATCTTTTTTAGAAGCATAAATTCAGCAATGATATTCAAACCAGTACATAGCAGACTGGCCCCAGCGTTGTCCAATGGGCACAGAAACCAATCTTATCTAAGCAGATGTACTGCAAGGACTCATACTGTGAACACACGCTCTGCTCACATTGGACTTGCAAAAAAGAAAAAAAAAGTTGGGAAAATGTATGAGTCTGTATAAGTCTCTGTGTCACTGCAAAAGAATAATATCAAGGTGCCCAGAAATCTTACTTCTCTCGGTGCTCCCCGTTTGTGTTCTTTTCTTGGCATGGCAATGTCTCTGCCTATATTCTTCTGAGCGTCTAGCTTGTAAGAAGATTCTGTCATAATCATGTGCCCTTCTGGAATCTAGTAAAATACCAACTCTTTCTACCAATCTCGCCTTTAAATGACTTCTTTTTCTCTTGCATGTGTTCATGTGTGTGCCCACATGTACACATGCATCTGGAGACTGACGGTCTATATCAGGCATCTTCCCTCACCTCTCTGTTACCCACTTAAATTCTTGAGTCTCGCTGAGCCTGGAGCTCCTCAGTTGGATAGACTGACTGGCTCGTGGTCCAAGGGTGTCCGACCCCCGACACTGCCAGGGGTCAGACAGCTTTTTATATGGATGCTGGGAGTTTAAATTCATGCTTACATACCAGGGCTTTAAAGTAGTGAGCCACTCCCTAGCTCTAACATTATTTTTATTTGTATCTAGTTTTCCATAATTACTTTCTAAGAAGTTACTAACAGAGTGAAAATAACATTTTCATTTTCTATGACAGGAAGATTCTTAATTACATCTCTGTGATACATGATAGATACATAGATACATAGAGAGATAAATGATAGATATATACAGATAAAGGTAGATAGATAAAGAAAGATAGATGATAGATGGATGGATGGATGGATGATAGGTCATTTTTATCTTCTAATGTAGATACTAGCTCCTCAGTCCCAAAGTGCATATGTTCACTTTTAGTTATGTAGTTACCTAAGAACTAGTTCATAATTGAAATTTGACTCTCCGAGTGAAGACGGGAGGGACACTCCATGGATGCAAACTCTATACAGAGAGGGATGTCTAAAACTGACTCACACTTTAGAGAATGCCAACAAAGGCATTGTTTCCACACCCAGCGTGAGCAGGGCTGTTTGCCTAATTTTATTTCTCACATTTCTTAACTAAGAGGAAAGTTCACAGAGATCTGTAAACAAAATATCTGCCAGAGGTGACAAGAGAGTATAAGAGACACGTGTTCCCCCGCATGCTGCCTCTTAGTGAAGTTGGCTGGCATCTGCAGTTTACCAGTGTCCAACCTGCTGCAGACCGTGTTCTGATGTGGAAATAAAGGCTTGACTCTGAGGTTTCTATACAGTCATCCTACAGGATGATAAATCCCAACTTCAACACGGCAGGAGGAAGAAGCCCATTAGCCCTGACTGCTGGGTGGACCTCATGGTTAACTCAGTCTTCACAGGCTGTCAGCACGGCTGGGCAAGAAGGTCACAGGCAGCCTGAATGGGCTCCGCAGAGACAGCCAGTCTCTCCTTGATGCTGCTTGCTGCCTCCATCCTGGGCCCTGTGTGAACAAATGGTCTCTAAGGACACAAAGTGGTTTTTGAAATCTGAATAAGGGCTCAGCTATCATCTACAAAATTGTGGTTTGTGGAGTAGAAATCATGAAGGGATCCAGTTTTTCACTTTGTTTCATTGGCAAGCATCCTTTGAGAGACCAACTCTGCCCATAATAAACCGTCATGGGACACAATTGTTTGGGAATGTGGTCTCCACGTTTGATTGCAGGGTCTGCAGGCTTCAGACAGTAGGAACGCGATACTTAAGCTTCTTCACTTATTGCCTGCTGGTGCACAAATACAGGATTTGGCAATTTAGCCTAAAGCCTTAGTCTCTCCCACTCTGGGAGGTACAGACAACAACTTCCAACGGGCTCCAAGGCAAGAGGAGGCCCCCTAAAGCTGAAATCAGAGTGTGGACCAGCCTCATGCATAATCCACTCACAAAACACAGGCTGATGGACCCCTTGCCAGAGCTAAACTCTGGGCTCCCCACCACTGAAATAAAATAATAAAAAATGGCCAAATCCTCATAAATGCTGAAAAGAAGCAGCTGGTTGCCAGCAAACCTCTATAATAATAGGAACAGAAATAAAACCAAAGTGCAAAAAGGCTTATATCTGTAAGGGGAGAATTGACATAAAGGAGGATGCTTGGCCACATTCATGTGCAACAGAATACAAGGGAGTTAAATTTGAAAATCAGAAACCATCCTGATACCCATCAGATAATGACTGCAATGTATTTTAAGGTACCAGTGATAGCTTGCGCTGCCAGGACCTGCTGTCAAATTAGTCCCCCAGAAGAACAATTCCCGTGGAACAGCAATTAATGGAATTGTGATGTTTGTTCAGTAGCAGTCGGGCTAATTCTGTCTGGCAGTAGACCTTACAGAATCCTTTTGGACTGAAGTTTGCTAGTGGCTGCCTGTTCAAGAAATGTACTACTTTGCAACCTGTGTCTGTTAAGGCTGGGGGAGGGGGGCATCACATTTATAGAATATTGATGGGCTGTGTTAGCATGCACATGCAATCTAACCATTGACTAGTAGAAACTAGGGTTTTAAAACTGGGCAGGGTTCATCCAGAACCGAGGCATCCATGTAAACCCTATCAGTATTTGTATATTTCAAGAGAACTCTTTCAACTTTGCTCTAATTTTCGGCCCTCGATGTGCGACCTGCCCACGGAAGGTAAGAACTGTGTTCTAAGGAACAGCATTGCCGGCCTAGTTGCATTCCTGTTTCTCTGAAGGAAACACTAGACAAAACCCTGACAAAAAGCAATGCAAGAGAGAAGGGGGCTTTTGATCCATCACTGAGGGGAGTCAAGGCAAGAGTTCCAAGCAGATAGTGACATCCACAGTCACGAGAGAAACGAATGCAGACACACTCACTTGTGCCCAGCCCACTCTACACTTACACAGGCCAGGACCCAGCCCACAAAATGGTGCTACACACATTCAGCGTTGGCCTCCCCACCTCTATTAAAAATCCTTGACAGACACATCCACAGTCCAGCCTGCTCTAAACCATCTATAAGAGTCCGTTTTCTGGTAAGTTTACATTGTGTCAGGTTGAAACTATAATGAAACCACTACAAGGACACTAGGAAAAACAACAGATTCTACATGGCTCTGGCCAACCAGAAGTGCACGTTTGAGTAGCCACGGTACTGTGGCGACTGTCCCCTCCACAATTGGTGCAGAAATTTAATTACCAGTGTAACAGTATGAAGAGGGTAGGACCTTCAAGAGATGATTGACTTGTGTGGCCCCATCCTCAGGAATGGGGTGTCCCAGAACTGGGTTGCTATCATGAGTGATATATATAAGCTTCCTTGACGTGCTCTGGCTCCTGCCTTTCCCATGGCCATGATGCCTTCTGCTATACTGACATAGCAAGAAGTCCCTTGACAGATAAAGTGTGGACTTCATAGCTTCCAGAACTGTAAGAAATATTTTTTTCATTATACAATACCCGTCCTCTAGAATCCAATGTCAACAGAAAATAGGCGTGACATTTGGGCATCCAGAAAGCCCTCACCCTCCCCCCCCCACACACATATATATACCTCATTCTGCTCTACTTTCCCAAGTGTTTGCATAAAGATAAACTGATATTATGTAAAAACCATGTTGAATATTGAGATGTTAAATAAATCTGTACAAAACACTTACTTACCCAAACATGTATTGAAAGCTTTAGGAGCCAGGTATGGGGTTGAACGCCTGGAATCCCAGCAATCAGGAGGGTGGGGGAGGAAGATCACACTTCCACATAACCTGGTCCTGTCAGAAAAGAAAAAAAGAAGTAAATGAATCAGTCACTAAACAAAATAAATCACAGCTATGGAGCTTGGGATATGGCTTGTTGTACACTACTTCACCTACCATGTGTGAGCCTTGGGGTTCAAGCCCCAGAATTACACGTATAAATAAATGAATAAGTAAAAAAGCTTCAAATTTTCAAGAATTTAAAATACTTGACTGTGTAACATAAAAAGTGAGTATTCTCCTGCCACGTCTTAAAGTCAAACCTTTGGCATATAAACACAACCATGCAGATTGTAGAAACAATGGAAATAAAGATGGGGAATAGGCATATGGTGTTCTAGTTTGCCTTAGTTGTCAACTTGACAAGACCTAGAGTCACCTGAGACAAAAGCCTTGAGACATTCCCTAAGATCAGGGTGGCCTGTGGGCATGTCTATGGGGGACTGTCCTGACTGTTAATGGAAGAGGGCACAGCCCACAGTGGGCGGCACCATTCCCTAGGCAGTTGATTATCAGCTGCATAAGAAAACTAAGCATTGAGGAGAACTCTGGGAAGGAGAAACACAGGGAGTCGAGATGTAACCACCATAGGGATAAGAAGCCTGGAAACTTCTCTGAAAATGAAAAGCTCAGGATTCCTTCTAGGCTTCTGTGGTTTGATGAACCAATACCCCCGGGAAGCCGTGGCCCAAGTGATTCAACATCTAAAACAGTTAAGATGATGGAGCCTTACAGACCATGAAAATAAGGACTTATACAGGTTTCTGAGTTTTGTCATGATCCCCATGGTGTGAACAGCGCCCCCCTCCAGCACGAAGCAGTTTGGAATGAGCGACGCCCAAGTCCCCATATTGTGTATAAATCTTTGTTTTCATTTGAATGGGGTTGCTTATAATTGGTTAATGATCACAACCAATCTCTTTTTAAAGGAAAAAGGGGATTATGGTATTGAAATGAGTACTTTCTATTGGTATGGTTTTTCATTTATTGATACAAATTCAAGGTCAATTTTGTGATTTGTATATTTCTCCTCTTGATTAAGTATTGTACTTATACTGATCTTTTAAAACATAATGCATAATTGAATACAGACTATAGATAGTTACTTATAATAGTCAGAACTTATAGTTAGGTAAGTTATGTTTTCTAGATATACAGAAATATATTTGAGATAGACAGTCTTCAAACCTTTCAAAGTCCTTCAGAAAATGGCATTTAAAATGGTTTAGGGTTTTTCTTGACCATGAGAAATGTCTGCTCCTGGCAGCATCAATTACGTCTGAGAGGAAGATGGGCATCGAAGACACTCGTTATGGAGTTTGCTTTCAACATGGCAAGACTAGCCATTTGGGCAAGAAACTGCTCTTGCCTAGACTACTTGACTGTTGCTGTATAAACTGGATTGCAGGACCCACAGGAAAGTGACTTCTACACTCAAACAGTCCTTCAGGGTTCCTGATTCATGGAAGAGTCTACGATACTTTCTTCAGGACACAGAAAAATGACTGACAGACTGCTGATGCAGATGGACAGTTTGAAATTTCCTGCTTTGCTGAAAAGTCTTCCAGACACATTGTGGCCTATGGGCTGAAGATGCCCCAACATTACAGAGGAACTTCAGGTGACTGTTCAGGTAGCAAGATGTCTCTGTCAATCCTAGTGTGTATATATTATCCTTCTGTGGTCTTTGATAGAGTTGAAAGCAGATAGTTATAATTATAGTTTTCCCTAGTTATGATAAAAGATAAGCTACATATAGAACTTTGGACTCACAAGGATGGGATGGATGATATTTTCTTTAAATCTTGCTAAAATATTGTAACTGTGTTCTTACTTGATAACTGTTCTGTTATATATAATTTGACTATGTTAAAGTTAAGACCTTTCTTTTTGTTTAAACAGAAAACAGGAGATGTTGGGGAAGTCCTGTGTATGTGTCAATAAAGCACTGTTGGCCAATAGGGAAGCAAGATAGGTGGGACTAGGAGTTGAGGAGAACTCTGGGAAGGAGAAAAACAGGGAGTCAAGACGTAGCCGCCATAGGGATAAGAAGCCCAGAAACTTCTCCTGTAAGATAAATGCTTAGATTAACAATTATGGGGTAAATACTTAAGTCAGAGCTAGCCAGAAGGAACAAGCAAGGCCAACAGCTTCATAATTTAAAAAAAAAAACAGAAAGCTAAGCATTAGCCTGTGTGAGACAGCAGGCAATGTTCTTCCACGGCTTCTGCTTCAGAATCTGGTCCTGATTCCCTCAATGATGGACTGTGACCTGCAAGTGTAAGCCAGATAAACCCTTGGCTTCCCCAAGTTGCTTTTTGTCCAACTATTCATAGTGGAAGCAGGAAGGAAACTGAAGCATATGGCTTGTTCAAAATCTAGAAAGCATGCCTACATGAGTGTATGTCACCTTGTGTGTAGAGGTTAGAGAACGAGTTTCAGGAATTCTTTTTCTCCTTCCACCACATGAGTCATAGGGATGAAACCCAAGTTGCCATGCTTGGGTACAAGCATCTTTGTCTGCTGAGCCATCTCACTGGCTCCTTTTATTTCCAATGTTGCTATATTATATACAATAATATAGCATTGGCAACATGTCTACCACATGGCATTTAGATGGGTAAATATTTACAGATTAGCCTACATGCTAGCACTGCACAGTAGTCTCTGTGAGAGTATGTTGATATCATCCTCAAAACTTTAAGAATAGTTTTCTAATTTTTCTTTTCTTTGATATAATGACTGATTTTTTAATGTTAATGTTTCCATTGTCTTCATATTCTTGCTTGTCTCATTTATATTCTGAGATTAATGATACTCTCAACATATTTGATTTATCATTTAGAGAAAGCACTTGCTCAGAAAGTCAGTGCTGGATATTAAATGGTAATTGCCCACAATGAATTTCTTCTCAACATGTGAAAAGATGGTTTGGCTTTTCTTCTTCCACTTAACTCTAAATGAGCGTTCTTAAACACACTTCAGTAGAATTCATATTGGTTTTCAAAATATCTGTTCAAAAGTGAGGATGTTAAAGACAGTCACACTTCTAATGCCTATTTTTTAAGGTATCAGAGATGAATATCTTTCTCTCAAATTCCAGCTGATACTGCCCAATTAAATTACTTAGCTTTTCTACACTGGAAGAGGAAGTGCGCACCATGTCCCCAGGGCTCATGTGCATGAACACCTGTCTCTGGCCCGAAACAATGTCTTGAGAGATTTAGGAGGCATAGAAGGATAACCTCCCTGAAAGAGGTTCTCCCTTCCCACATCTAGTTCTGACATGAGTTCTCTGCTCCCTGATCCAACAGCAGTGAGAAGTCACAAGGCGAGTTACACCCTTAAGAGCCCCTCGGTGTGCCTTCTCTCCCTGGTGGAAAATAACCTCTCAAGCAGAGAGATAAATGAACCTTTCCTCCCCTACATTGTTTCTGCCAGGGCTTTTGTCACGACAGTGAGAAAAATAACCAAGACCACCTTCCTTTTTGCATTAATATTATGTGGCTACTGCAACTAATTCCTAAGAGTTGGTTAGAAGATCGTCACATCAAGGTTATAGAAAAGAAGATAACCCTAAGTTAGAAAGACATTTCAAAAGAAAATGTGGCATAAACAAAAACTTATTCTTTTTGTCTTTAGAAGAGGCAGTTGACCTGAAAGCCTTTGTGATCGTATCTCTTACTTTATTTGAGGTTGACAAGACATTATTTTAAGTTCTTGATCACCACAATGTACCAAAAGCTGAATTTAAAAAGGGAGAGAATGTACAACATAAAAGTTATACATTGATCTAATTTCATTTGTCAACTTGATAAGATTTTGAATTTCCTGGGGAAGGAGTTTCAGTGAGAGACTTCCCAGATCAGGTGGATCAGTGGGTATTAACATGATTCTGTCTAATGAAGTGGGAAGACCCACCCTGAGCTAGAATACATCCCACTACCTTGAGCTGTTTTTGTCACAGTAGTAGAAAAAGAAACTTAAGTCACAGACCTCACCTTAAATTACTGCAGGTAAACTACAGTATTATTAAGAAATACCCGAGACAAGCTAATTCCACAAAAGAGGCTTCCTTGACTCACAGGTCTGGAGGTTCAAGATCACATCTGTGTGTGGAGGAGGATTACATGTTTAAAGGACTCAGCACAGATGACTTCACACCATGGCAAGTACCTGTACAGGAAGTAAATAACTACAAGACCTATGAGGAAGCCAGAGTAAATCTGAGTGGTTCAGATTACTTTCCTACCAACTCTCCCAGAACAGAAATACAGAAGACCATCTGAAGACCCAGCTTACTCTAGGACCTTCCACCAGACACATCTCTTGTTCTACAATGCCCCCATACTGCCACCCCTGTAGAACAATCAGTGCTCAGTTGGACACCTGGGGAGCAAGCCACGCCCAAACCATCACATAGGTAAAAGACAATTAAATTTGACACACACTGTAAGATAGAGGATGGAATGCACCATCTAGCTTCATAGGAGGTAGCCCTGTAGCTGGGTCCTAAATAACAAGTGGTGTAATATAATTTGGCAACATTAAAAGTGATGTTTGGGGTGTTAAAATTGACAAGGAATAAACTGGTGATGATTAATAGTCATTGTCGACCTGACTACAGTATAACCGAGGAGACAGTTCTGGAACTGGAGAAAGAAAGGTCTACCCTGAATGTGGGTGGTGCTATTCCAGACTGAATAAAATTGAAATGCAGGAGTTGGCATTCCTTAGCATTTTCTTATCTGCACAGTAGTAAGCAATCAACCTCACACTCCTGCTACTGCTGCTGTACCTTCCCCATCTGTGAGCCAAGTCAAAGCTAAACCACACACACACACGCACACACACACACACACACACACACACACACACACACACAAAGGTGCATGTTTTGCCACATATGTGGACCAGCGAGGAGAAAAGCAATAGTCATTTTAGGTAGTAGAGCTGTGATTCAAATGTTCATTGCCTGATTCTGATTTCCAGCTCTGTTTACTTAACCACAGCATAAAAATCACATTTTTTTTCTTTAGAATACAATCTTATGGTCAAATGAGGGACAGAAGGACAGAGCTCATTTCAGAGACCATTCCATCACTCCAAATGCTGGAGATAGTAGCAGTAGATAAAAATGTTCCTCTATCTGTTGCTTCAAAATGGTCACCACTGCTAAGTGTCTGAACTAAGCTGGAGACAAGTTAAATCACGAATAGGGATCCGAGCCAGCCAAATGGTTCAGTGGGTAAAAGCATGTGGTGACTTAATGTCATATCCCCCATAGTCTCAGGCATTTCAATACTTGGTCTCCAGTTGGTCAAAATATTTGGATAGGTTTAGGGCCTATAGGCTTGCTAGATGAAGTGTGTCCCTGGGAATGGGCTTTCGGGGTTTAAAAGTCATTCACTATTCTCAGTTTGCTCTCTCTGCTTCTTGCTTATGGATCATAATGTGTAAGTTTCAGCTGCCATGCTTGCCTACTGCAACACTACCCAGGTGTGTTAGTAACAGACTCATCTCTCTGGGGCCGTAATCGCAATTAAACTCTTTCTTCTATAAGTTGCCTTGGCCATTTATTATTATTGTTATTATTATTAATTATCATTACTGTTATATTGCAGCAGTAGAAAAGTAATTAATACAAGGTACATACCACCGAGTCTGATAATCTGACTTCGTTTCTGGAGAGTCACATGGTGGAAAGCGAGAACCTCTGCCTTCTACAACCATACCATTGCATCACCTGAGCATGTGCGTACACACATACAACACACTTTAAAAACTCTTAGAAGAACAGGGAGCCAAATCAAGAAGAAACTATGGGGAATGAAGGTTCAGACTTTAGTGACATATGAACTGTATAAAGAGACAGAAAGGTGAAAATCTAAAAAAAAAGAGACTGCATTTTTTAAACTGGGCCTCTGGGTGACAATAATGCCAACTGGGACAAGGTCAGTATGAGAATACAAACCATTTCAGGCATGTTGAAATGAGGATGCCTTTGGGACATCCAAATGAAAACACAGGTTCAAAGGACATTTTTAAATACTTGGGGGTAAATATTTTGTTAAAGTATTTTCTACCATCTTATGCTGTCCCTTGCCAGTGCAGGAGTCCTGGGACCGTAAGACGTGAATTGGCTGCACTCTCTGAATGACCCAGTGTATACTTGTGACATTTAAGGTCAAAGACATGGCCAGACACTAGGCTTCTATGGTGTGCAGAATACACTTAGTTACTTGACCCTAACTCAAATGCTAGACTAAACACAAGTTCCTCCTTCAGGACCTGTTAAAATGTACATAGGGAGATATTCGTGAGGGTAAAATGAAAGTGTAATTGCGGGAAAACAAAAACGGGAGACCATCTGTGCCAATCACTGTGCCTTCAGATGGCTAGAGAGCTGCAGAGCACCTGTGCATGAATTAATAAAGACTGATACTGGGGTTCAAGCTTCAAGCTGAAGATCAGAGAAGCAAAGCTGACAAGCCAATAGATCTTACCTCCATGCAGCTGAAAAGGCAATCCTGTCTCAGCGAATCCTCAGAGGCAAAAGTTCTCAGTTCTTGTCTCCTCCTCCTTTTATTCCTTTCTCCACCCAGCCTTATCACTCCGGTCTCTGCCTCCCTCCTGCTGGGATTAAAGTCATGAGATCCCAGGTGCTGAGATGACCTTTGTGTGAGCTCTTTCTTTTAGGACTGGATCAATTTCGTGTTGTCAGTGTGACCTTGAATTAATGGAGATCTGTCTACCTCTTAATCCTGAGTCCTGGGATGAAAGGTGTGTGCCATCACTGCCTGGCTAGCTGGTATGCCTGCTAGGATTAAAGGTGTGTATCACCACTGCCTGACCTCTATAGCTTGTGGCTGGCTTTGCTTTCTGAATCCTCAAGCAAGCTTTAATAAATCATAAATAATGTATCACCACATACATGTATACATGCATACCTACACACAATGTGTACACCCCTCCCACAGGTTTCTGAAATCAGTTCTAAGATCAAGATAGCCTCACCAGCAATGGTGGTGACAAAAATCAGGTGCAGGGGGACCATAGAGGTCATTCTGCCTCTGTAGGACTCAAACCAGAAAGAATGCACCATAGTCAATTTCATAAGCATTTGGGGGAGGGGCTTCTGCAGGCCCATAGCCATCATCTTTTGGGGAGAAAATATGATGATATTTAGATGTTTAAGTAGCCATGCTCATTGACTGAACAGGTTTTAGATCTAGGACATCAAAACAATGGTGTGTTCTGAAGTCCAGAGTGAGGCCATGAAGTTCGTGCAGCACAAGCCTTTACCTGCTGAGCAATCCCACCAGCCCCAATTTCCAAGTTTCAAATTGTGATGCTTTCTAGTCCACCATCTTAAGCATTACATCTCACCCATTACAAATATGCAACAGGAAACAGAATGAGTAATGGTGAACTAAACTGGAAGCTTCTCTCCTTTAATTGTCTCTGTTGTTGGCAACATTTTATTTTAATAGTGTATTCTCTTAGTAAAAATGCACCATGTTGCGACAGAGGGGGAAAAAGACTCTACAATACAGAAAAGCACAAAGAACAAAAAGTTTTCATCTGGCATATCATAATTTGTATATCTACATCTTCCTAGGTATCTTATTGGTCTGCCTAATTATATCTATCACACATCATTGTTGATCATCTTTCTATCATCTGTCATCTATCAATCTATCGTCATTTCCATCATCTATCTATCCTGATCAATCATCATCTATCATTTTACTACTGACATATCTATGACCCCTATAAGTCATTTATATCTCTAACAATCTATGCATCATCTGTGTATCATCTATTATCCGTCACGCTATCATCATCTATATATCAGTCATCTGTCATTACTACCCACCTACCTGTCATCTGTCATATCTATCTATTATCTATTTATCTACTATGTGATACTCTAATTGATGGTACATGCTCCCACACACATAAATCATCATAATTTCAGTATGCTCTTTAAGCTGATTTTTTTTCACTTAAGCATATGAAGAATATTTTCTTGTATCTCCCACAATAGCATTTTTAGAAGCCCCCTACCAATCACTCTATTCCATTAAAGTATGCAAATGTGATCACCAGCTGTAAGCAGTGGGTGTGTAACCTATCAGTTTGGGCAAGGAAAGAAATATACAGAGCTTTCCCACTCAGGTTTCTCTAAATGCTTCCTAACAGTTTTGTTACTCCTTTCTTCATCATCCTTGAGTCAATAAATAAATTTTATTAGTCAATTAAACATTGTTGTATGAAGATCCTTCAAATTTATAAGGCTGCAGTAATCTCCTGTGCCCTACCTTTGGCAAAATAAGGATTTTGATAGTTTTTGTGTGTGGTATGATCCAGGTCTCCAGGCATGGTAGAGATGGAATCATTGGAACATACCAAGCCCTATGTTTGCTCTACTGTGAGCCAGGACAAAGATGCTGGTAGAGTCCAGAGTCAGTTTTCCATGTTACAGCAGACTTGAATGAAATGATAATTATTGATCCAACAACCTGAGATGGTTTTTCCTAAGTCTGTAGGGGAACACTGTACAAATGTGTATTTAGGAACTCTTAAATAATACTTATTAGTGAATTGGCAGGCCATAACTGCTTGAAAGGAGCCATTAAAGTCAGATGTAATCCCATTTCAGTTCTCTGATCTGTGACCCACTTGTGAGAGACCGCCACATGTGTGTGGGATCTGGCAGTTCACCACTGCAAAGGACACGGAGACAATACCTCTGTCATCTTGCAAATTGGACTTTTCTTCTGAAATTCACCGAGTCTCTCACCTTGCTTTAACAGCCTATATTTAAGTCATCCTCTCATGGTGGAGAGCTAGTTCAGCAGGTAGAAGCACGGGCTGCTCTTACAGAGGACTCAAGTCCAGTTCCCAGCACCCACAGCAACCTGCAGCTCCAGTTCTGGGAGATCTGACGCCCTCCACTGGCCTCCAGAGACTCCTGCATGAATGTGATGCCTGTAAACTCAGACAGATGCACACATGTACACATAAAAATGGTAAAGAAATCTTTAAGTTTACTCACTTAAACATAGTAAAACTCCATGGTTGCTTCACTTACCTCCAATTTTCCAAATTTATTTCTATAACTTTTAAACCACAGTAAAAGTTTGGGACATTTAACAGTATCTGCCATGATTGTACTAAATTGTGATCAACATATTTCTGCAATTTTTATATTATAAAATATTTCCAAAGTGATTATCAACCATCACCCGACTAGAAAAAATGAGATGCTTGAGTGAACATCTATACCATGTTATGTCTCCCCTGGGGCCCTTTAAACTGCCCACCATATAACACTGTATTCAGGGAACACACGGCAGGCTTCCACTCCAGCCACGGAAGAAAGCCAAAAGTGGCTCTTCCTTTCATAAGCAGGCTCTGCAAGTGGTAACGATGCTGTTTAGCCAGCAACAGACCCTTTCGAGTTGCCTTCCTTGTTTTGAAACCTGACCTGTAGGATGGGATTTCTGAGGCCTATGATGTGTTGCTTAGGATCACAGGGAGGTTTAAATTGCCTCTTCTCTCAATGTATTCTGGCACTGTAGCCTGAAGCCAGGACTAGGTTTTTTCTTCCTTTTTTTTTTTTTCAAACTGCAACCTGCCTCCCATGAATGGAGGAAGCAGACTGCCTCTTTGCCGAACACTGAGACAAGGTGCTGATATAACAACAGTGGACAAGCAGCTGGGAGCCGGGCTGTCAGCCTGTCACACACTGACAAATCTGTTGTTCATATTCAGGCAGGATGCGTGTGTCCACTCGCCACCAGCATCATCCATCTAACGCAGAGGGGGGATGCGGGCAGCCTGCACCCTGCTGCCTGTGGACCAAACATGCTTATTACAATCCTGCTGAAAGCCTGCAACTAAACAACTCATTTACTTTGTGATGATGGGGCCAGGCAAATGAGACAAGTAAGATAGCCTGCTCAATTTTTGTTTCTCTTCCTTCAAGGTGCCAAGACAGCCTGTATTACCATTTCATGTCACATACATAAAGCCATAACTCTAAAAAGCTCCAAACGGCTCTTCTGAAAATCTAGACAGGCTAAAAGAGAGAGGGTGAATGAAAGAAATATTCAATGAAATATTGTTATTTGAGGGAAAACATACTTTGAACACAATACACGGCCCCCTTTCTTATGTTTTTCAAGAAAGCTGACATTCAGAATGCTCTCTGGAAAATTTCCCCCAGTGCCATCACATCTATGACATTATGACTCCTCCTCTCTCTACAGATCCATTCTAGGTTGATCCCAACACCTGCCTGAGATTGAATTTACAGTTCCCCAATCAAGATATATCTATATTTATATGTGTCGTTGTAAACCAATGAAGAATACTTTCTTGTATGCATTGGGAGGAACTGAGTGGTAATATAGAGGTTACTCCAGAGTTTCTGGCATGGCAGGGCTCATGATTTGTTGACCCTTTACCTAAATGGTTGAGAAATAAAATTTGCATCTGCTCCAACAGTCTCTCCACAAACACTGCTGCCCACTGCCCTGTTAGTCATCAAACTCCGCGCTTCAGAAAGGAGTCCGACTGCCCTGTGAAGTGTTTAAACACAATTTTGTGTCTTCCATTCACATTCATAGATGTTCATAGATGTCTCCTCCAAGTCGTTCTCCAGCAGTTTCTTCAGCCTCTCTGAGGAGATAATCTGAGGAGCGTTTGAGATAAGCTGCTCAAAAAAGCCCACAAGAAACCCACATCCACTCAAAGACCAAGACAAAAGCAAGGGTAACCTTGGAAAATCATGTTAGCATTTCAGGATTAAGAAATTTTCACATTCCTATGAAAACTGCACTCAAAATGTCATTACAGTTTATGGTTTATTTTTAAATCCTTTTACGTTAAAATAGTAGCAGCAGTGCCTCATGTCCCTGAGATCCTCCTATGTGGATGTCTTTTTCTATATCGTTACTCACACAGAGAGGAGGAAATCTAGTTTGGAATGTGTAGGTTAGTAACACGAGGACAAAATGGAGCAAGTGGAAAACTACTAAAGAATAATGTTCTTTTGTTCACTGCCCACAGTGTGTGTTACTCTTAATTATTCCTGTGTCAATGGCCATTAAGTTATGGTTTGTACCACAGAATATTCCTAAGACTCCTTGGCTTGTTTTTGTTTGCTTGAGACAGTCTCGTTCTGTAGGCCAGACTGGCTTGGAACTCTGTAGCCCATGATAGTTTTGAACTTTGTAGTGATCCTCCTGCATCAGGCTTCTGTGTACTGGGATTATACCTGACTCAATATGGGCAGTGTGACAAACCACAGCCAGCACACACCGTATGCACACACACTCACATAAGTGAGGGAAAGTGAGTATGGAGTAAGTCATTGTGTAGGAAATTCACTCTGGTTGTGGTTCATCCCCTACAGTAGCACAATGTGAATGTACTCTTGCCTAAAACATACATTTTGTTTTATTGGTCTTTGACATAAGGCTGTATGGTGTGGCCCAGGCTAGCCTAAGACTTTCCACCATAGGTTACCTTAGATTCTTT